AATTTTTCTTAGGCAGAAGATTTTATTGCATATTCTGGCACAAAATACACCTAAAAGTGTAGAAAAAAATTGACAGCCCGATCCGAGTAGAGGAACACCAATTTTATGACCATTAAAACGTTTTTGGTCAAAAAAAATTTTCAAAAAAATTCAATTTTTCTTAGGCGGACTATTTTATTGCAATTTCTTGCACAAAATACACCTAAAAGTGTAGAAAAAAATTGACAGCCCGATCCGAGTAGAGGAACACCAATTTTATGACCAAAAACGCATCCAAAAGCAAAAAAACTTACCAAAAAAATTCAATTTTTCTTAGGCAGAAAATTTTATTGCATATTCTGGCACAAAATACACCTAAAAGTGTAGAAAAAAATTGACATCCCGATCCGAGTAGAGGAAGACCCCTATTAGCACCATGAAAGCTATTACAGATTTTTGAAAACATTTTAAAAAATATCTTATTTTTAATATGGAATTTCTATATTTATTTTGTGTGTATGCATAAAATTTAAAAAAAAAAAAAAAAAGTTCAATTCATCTTGAAGAAGAAAATCTTAAAGCTTTTTGAGAGTTCATAAAATATACGTGTCTTTTGAAGACTGAAAAAGGCTTCATATACTTTTTGAATGTGTGAATGTAAACATCACTCTTATTAGAAAAGAAAATCCTCAATGCTTCTCTGCCTTTTTTTAAAAAAAATACTCGTAATATAAACTATGTATTTAAAAATGTTCTTTCCGTGCACATTGCATTTTTTTTTTAAATTACATTCATTCTTTAATAAAAAAAACAACTACTTTATACATTTAAAAATTAAAGAATACATTATTAATTTCAGAATGTATTAAAAAAATTTGTTTTTAATTTAAATAAAATACACTTCTTTTAAAAATTATTAATTACACAATTTATAATTCGAATGCCACCAGTGAATTACATATATATACACAAAAAAGAAAGAAAAAAAAAACATTTGAAATTATAAAAAGCTACTCTTTGTTAATTGGATGCATTTACATAATTATATTCATTCATATAAAACAAACTTTACTGAAAGTGTTATTCAATTAATTTTCTTTTTCTTTTAAATAAAATATTTTTCAAAATGATATTTATAAATAAATAATATTAAATAATAAAATTAATAATTTTATTATTATTTATATTATTAATAATAATATTTTATTAATTAAATATTTATTTACATTTAATAATTTTTAATTTTTTAAAAATTTATTTTAGTTATTATTATAATTATTATTAAAAAAACAAAACGAAAGCTAAAAAATTACCTTGGGCAATTTTTTCCAGAATGCAATTTTTGCACATATATATATAAATTGTAAACAACCACTTTAAAGAATTAAAAAAAAACCTCAGTGAATTATATAATACCTTCTGTGATATCTATGTGAAAAAAAAATTATTTTTAAAAAACAATTTTTTTTACAATAAAAGGTATTTGAAGGGGGTGCAAGGGGATGAATTTTACATCACACATATATACTAAAAGGCCGTTTCAGCTTGATGCTTTCATATCGATCTGTGATACCTCGTGTTTTTCACATTATTATTTTCTTTAAATCAAAAAAAAAAAAAAAAAGAAGAAGAAGAAAAACGAATTCACTTACTTCCTTTCTGGAGAGTCCGATGCCGGATTCTCCAATTTTTCCTCGTTATCCATTTGAATTAGATAATTAAATTTTGATTTTCAATTAGATTATTTTCACTCACGGTCTTGATGAAAAAATACATTTTGGCGTGAGTTGAAAATTCCGTGTGTATTACTAAAGAACTATGCTTGGAGAGTCGACATAAACTACCCCCGTCGTATAACTAGAGAGACTCCTCCCTCTGTTGTACATACGCTGCCATCTCTTGATATTTCCATTAACTAAGAAAAACAAAATTTTCCATTAAAAATTCAAAAAATAAAAAAAAAATTGTCAAAATTTTATCTATTTTATATTGTATTTTTTTCAAATATAACATTTCAAATTTTGTTGAAATATAAGAGAAAATTATTTTACCTGACAGAAAATTTTTTTTTATATTAGTAGAAAATGCCATTTTTTGTCAGAGTGCAAAATTTTTTTTTGCCAATTTTATTATCAGTAGTAAATTTAATTTCAGTTAGACTAATTATTTTAATGAAATTTAGTAAAAGACAAATAATTTTGATAATGGTCTGTCTGGCTGAAATTGACTTTCACTACTGATAATAAAAATGTAAAAAAAATTCTGTCTGACGGAAATTCACATTTTCTACTAGAAAAAAAATCCGTGTAAGAAATTTCATAATTAATAAATAAAATTTAATTATTTCAATTAATAATGTATCAAACAAAAAATTTAATAAATTTCTGTCTGGATAAAATTGACTTTCTATACTGATAATAAAAATTCCAAAAAAATTTCTACTCTGACAGAAAAAAATCAATTTTCGTCAGAGAAAAAACAAAAAAACATTTATTATTCAAAATCGGTTTCCGAATTATTTTATTTTTTTAATTCTTTTATTTTTAAAATCTTGTAATTTTTGTTCATAAGTGGTAAAAGTGTTTTAATCAGACCGAGTATTATTATTTATGAAACAAAAAAATATCAACAAAACCTGGGGATGTGTATAAAAAATTCCATTTTTTTTTTTTTTTTTTTTTAATAAGTAATGTGTAATTCGAAGTATTACAGATTTTTTTTCTTTCATCCTCTTTTTTTTGTTACAATTCTATAGCTTATAACTTACACATATGTTTTTTTGCAAGATGTTATTATTTTTTTGTTTTGGTGCAAAGATATTTTTTTTCGGAGCAGATATTATTAATTTTATAATATATATATATAAAGACGTGTGAGTATAATTGTTATTATTGTTAATTGCATCAAATGGGACATTTTTGCCCTTTGTACTTGGAAGAGAATTTACAAGTATTGAAGATAAAAAAAAAATCCTTTTTCGTTATCAGACAATACCAGGAATATATTATTCGCACAATTGCAATTTTTTTTTTTTTTTTTTTTTTTTAAATATTTTCCCCTTTTTACACTATTTTCTATAATTAAATAAAAGCATTATTGTATACTGTTTATTAACACCCTTTTTTTTCAATATCCCACACAATGTGATTGAATTAAAAATATTTTTTTCGTTCAATGAAAAGAAAACTGTCTTTTATACAAATATTGACAGTATTTTTATTTTTTTTTTTTATACCTATTTTTTTTCTTTTATTTGGAAATGTGAATATATTAAAAAATTAACTACAAAATTCCAATATAAAAAAAAAAAAAATTCAAAAATGATTTTATAAAAAAAATTTATTTATTTAAAAAAAGAACTACTTTTGCAAATTTTTTTTTTATCTTACATTATAATAAATTCGTAAAAACATTTATTTGATTTATATTTAAAATTGAATACAAAATAATAATATAAAAAAATGTTCTTTATCGACAAAAAATTTAATTCCTTTTGTGATTATTTTTTAAAAATGGTTCCTTAACAGATTGTTATTTTTAAAATTTTAAATTTGAGTTTGATTTTACATTCATAAAAATTTTTCTGTTTAAAACATGATCATGCTTTGATCGTTCAATAATAGAAATAAAAATAATAATAAAAAAAAAAATAATAATAATAATAATAATAATAATAATAAAAATAATAATAATAATAATAATAATAATAATAAAAGTAGGAATATTTAACCTGGTTTACAGCCAGTCTTGAATTCAGTCCTCGTAAATATTGGTAAAAACATTTACAAATTGTTTTTTTTTTTAAATATAGTTTTTTTTTTTTCAAAAGTTGAAAGAATGCAAGTCTAAAAGACGTACTTTCATTATTTTTTTTTAAAAAATCTGTATTTTTTTATCATTGAGTTTGAATTACGTTATCTAGGGAAATTGACTTCCTTTTTAAATTACACACTATTACTCCATTCTGCGCGGATATGGTCATAAAATCGAGCAAGACTTGTTTTTTTTTTTAAATAGTATTCGCCGTTACAATTGTGGTAACTTTAGTTACAACATAGTTACACTATAGTAACATTAGTTACATTTTTTTTTTTTTTTTAGTAATAAAATGGTAATACATAATAATTTTGTAATATACAATTAAAAATATCTTTGGTACTTGTGTCAATACTTGATTAGATTTTTTTCTCCCATCATATTACTTTATATATCTTGACATAAGTGATTTGCAAATTTTACAAATTCACAATTTTTTTTTTTTTTTTTTTTTTTTTTTTAATTTAAATTACAATAATCGCGTTTATTCGTCGACTACAATTTTTTTTTTTACGGCAGTTGTGACGAAATATATTTTAATAGATATATATTTATATAAATTCTATTATGTTTACACTTTCGAGCACTTATGTACATTTTTTTTTTTTTGCAAATTTTCATATTTTTTTTTCTTCTCTTTTTTTTGACTAACATTAATCTCACAATTTTTCTTTTTTTTTTCTTTTTTTTTTGCAGTTTTCTTAATTTCTATTACTGACTTATATATTTATAATAACTTACTCAGGTAATAACAGAGAAAACAAGATGCTAAACATCTGTGAAATTTACAACGTGCGATTAAACATCTCTTTTGCATTTTCTTTGCCTTTTTTATTTTATATGTGCTTTTCATTTTGTGAAATAAATTTGTGAAAAAATTCTGATTTAGTCGCCATGTTGATTTAATTTTTTTTTTTTTTAATTTTGTTACCGGTTTTTGTAATTTATTATGTAAAAAAAAAAGTAAATTATAAAAATATAGACACTGATTTTAATAAAAATTATTTGAAATAAATAATAATTCTTTAATTAAATTAATTTTAAAAAAATTACATTATTTTCTCTATCAGTGTACTTTAGGAATAATAAATTTATTATAATATTAATAATAATAATAATAATAATAATAATAATAATAATTATTATTATTATTATTATTATTATTAAATTATTGTCAATAATAATGTTATTATAATTTCCAAGAATTTTTTTCTCCAACAAGAAAATAATTATAATGTAATGGATCGAAATTTGTTTTTTTTTTAATTACGATTGATTTATTGATTGTCATGGAACAGTGCATAATCTTAGAGAAAATAATAATAAATGAAAGAAAAAAAATTATTTGTAAGAATATTTATATATGAATATTGCAGTAATAGCAGCGAAAATGGAAATAACAGATTCGAATTTCTACCTCATGGTATCAAAATTCCAATTCCTTGCATATAATAGTCATGGATTTTGCATTGCTCTTTTTTCGTCAAAATCAACAACTGATTGCGCAGTACTCTAAATTAAATAATAATAATAATAAAAATAAAAAAAAAAACCTTCAAAATTTTCTTTCGGCGACAATATATTTTTTTTTTTCTTTTTACTTACTGCATTTTGCTTTTAACTTCTAATACAGCAGCCACGTTGCTTTGGTAATCATGCTGCTAATAAGTTTTTTATATTTTTTGGGGTATTCACTTCGTTTAGATGTTTCGTTGTGTAACGCAGTGCATTTAAAAGACCCTCACTTTTACAAGGCGGTTGGTCCTTTAATAATTTTACACAGCCTTTCACCTTAAAATAATTAAAAAAATTTTGTTATTATATTTTTGTAAATATTTTCTAAAATTATTTTTTTAAAATTCTTTTTAAAAACAATTTTTAACTTTTTATTAATTATTTTTGAATATTGTTTCCTCTATTTTTAACAATTTCCCTTCCTTAATATTTTAATTTTTATATTTTTTTTTTTGAGAATATTAAAATTTTTTTTTTTTTAAAAAAAAAGGTAAAATAAAAGAATTGGAGAAAAAAAAATTTTTTCTGATATATTTTTTGTATTTCATATTGAGAAATATTGTATATGATTTAAAATGCACTTACGTCAACATTTGATCCCTTAACAAATGCTCCTTGGGGATGAACATGATCATACAAAATGACAAGTCCAACCATCACCCTCAGAACAAAGAGTTGCGTTTCCTCACGTTGAAATTGAGCCAATAAGTTACTGTGAAAATAGAAAAAAAAAATTGTCACAAAATTATTTAAAAATAATTTTTAATTTTCAAATTCGTATCATTTTTCGTATCATTCTATTATCATTTAATGAACAATAAAAATTTTATTTTTTATGTTAATAAATGCTAATAGAATTAATAGAAATTAAAGATTGAATTTTTTTATTAATTAATTAAAAAAAAAAAATTACAGAAAAAATTTTTAAAAAAAATTATTCATACTCACGGATTTTCTAGCATTCTAAGACACACTTTGGCCATTGTACCCAATGTTTCAGTAATATTCTCTCTCGGTATGTCGTTGTTCTTGAAAAAAAAATTCTTTGTAAATTAACGATAATAATAATAATTATTATTATTTATTTTATTATTATTTATTTATTTTTACTTTTTCTATAAAAATTATTAATTATTAAATTTTTTTTATTAAATTTATGAAATAATATTTTTCTGATTATTGGCTGAAAAATTATTTTGTTTAAATAAATAAAATAAAAAATATTTTATAATAAAAAAATAAAATAAATAATTATGATTGAAATATTTTTTGTTATATTTTACCATCATTAGAAAAGCAATTGTTGCATGACTGAGAACTCGTAGCATTGGTGTTGCGTGTGCATAAAATAATGACATACGATTTGCTAATTCATTGCCAACAACAAGATCTTTCTCAGTGCTACCCTGATGTGACAATGATGCCCTCGTTAATGTTCTTCGATAATAACTAAAATCATTTTGTATTGCTGGCGTTTTCATTTTGTGTTCATCGAATTTTAATACAAATTCCAAAATTTCAGCAAGCTGCTTAACAAGTGCTTGTTGAGTTTCTAAATGTTGAGTTGGTGACATATTACCCGAACAAAGTTGACCCAAAATTTTTGGAACAACACCCTCTGTAAAATTTCATTTAAATTATAATAATTATTTTTAATAATAATTTTATTAATATTATTTCGTTTATTAATAAATAAAAAAATAAATTATTTTAATTTCCATTTATTTTAATTTTCTATTTATTTTTTAATTTTTTTTTCAATAAAAATTGTTGTATCAAATAATTATTTTTGATACAAATAAATATTCTTAAATAAATATTATTAAAATAAAATTATTCTATTTTTTTTTTTTAGTTTTTTTTGGGGCAAATAAATATACATACCAAGTTCGAGGGAAAATTCGTAAAATCTTTTGAGTTTCGCTACCAATGGTGCTACTGTTAGATAAGCCTTTCGTTGACATTCTTCAGTTGGTGCCGAAATGGCTTCTCTTATTTCCTTTCCAGCTCCTTTATAACATTGAATGTCTTCTAAAATTGATTCGGAATTTTTTAAAACTCTTTGCACCGTTTCAAAGATTTCTCTCTCGTTTTCCGATGGTTGAGCATCTAAAAATATTTCAATATTCATTGATTTTTGGAAAAAACAGAAACAGAAAATAATTGAAAAAAAAGAATAAAATAAAAATAAGATAAAAATAAAATAAATATAAATAAATATACCTAAATAAATATAAATATAAATAAATATAAATAAATATAAATAAATAAATATAAATATAAATAAATTAAAAATTGAGTTAAAATTTTTTTTCAAAACAAAAAACTCACTTTCAAAATCTAAGAAGACATCGTATTTTTGCGGAGTGCAGCAAGTCGATTCATCCCGAGCCAAAAGACTGAGAAGTTTGCCCATTTTTTTTTCTTTTTGTATTCTTTTTTCTTTTCAATATGAAAATTCCTCAGCAACAGGATTAAATCACATGACAAAAAGTATCTGTAATAAAAATTTTAAATGGTAATTTTTTTTTCTATTTGATTAAAAAGAAAAGTAAAAAAACGTGTGCACGTGAAAAATTCGCAATTATTTTTTCATTGAAATATTAACACAATGAAGTTTTATAATTTCAAAACGTGTTCACGAATTAAAATCAAAAAATAATAATAATAATAATCTCTCGCTCACTCTGTATATAGATAATAAAAGACAAGGTTTCACCTTGATTATAAATATAAAAATACGATAAAATAATTAGCACGATAATGATTCGATTATCAATTTTTGTATATAAATATATATATGTATTATAATAATTATTATAATTAATATATATATATATATAATATTATTTATATTTATTATATAATATAATAATAATTACTATTTTTATATAATAGTTATTATTATTATATAATATATAATTGTTATTTTGTTATAATAATTAATTATAATATTTAAAAGGCAATAATTATAATATAATAAAAATTATAATTGAAATATATATTCTAGTAATCAAAAGGTAAAAAATTTAATATTTTTGGAGATTTATTTTTTTTATAACAAAATATATTAAAATATATATAAGATGAAGGAAGTTGGGTCGTGGTTTCGCGACTCAAGCTCGAGATAGAGTAGAGTTGCTTGGCCAATGGAATTCGATGTACCGCGAGGCCAGAGTGGCTAAACCTATATATTCACGTGTGGTATATGGTGAAGAGTCAATTCCAGGCGAACGACAATTATATATACATGTATATATAAGCATATATAGTCATGCTCACATACCATTAAATTCATGCGTGCAAATGAAGAGACTGAAGAGCATGTCCAACGGATTAATGTCGTATCTGTATATATTATGTATATAAATCGCGAACTTAATTCTATGAATTTAGTTTTAATTTTTTATACTCGAAAATAATTGTGGACACCAAAAAAAAAATTAAATTAGATAATTTTTTTTTACTTATTTTTCAAATTTACAATTTTCTACATTCTCTATTATTTTAATTATTATATTAATTTAATTTTTAAATTTAAAAATTTAACTTTTAATTTCATTAAATATATAAAGTTAATTTTATATATTTTGAAAAAATAATACTCGCAGTATTGATAAAGTATTATATTTTTACATTTTTTTTTCATTTATTTTTCATTGTGAAGTTGGTCTTTTATTTTGTTGAAAGAATGCCAAAGATATTCTTTTCTGAAGACAATGAAAAATATTTACAATAGTAAAGGAAATCAATTTATTTTTTTTTATTTTTTTTATTATTACCCTCTCAAACTTAAAAAAAAACTAATAACGAATATAAATTAGATGGTTAAAAAAAATTGTAACAAAATTTGAAAAATAAAAATATAAAAAAATTATCGACACAGAAATCTACTTTGCCGACTGATGGTTGTTTTTTAAAATGAACGTACAAAAATTACCGACATAGATATCTACCTTAACGACTGATGGTTAAACATTCTAGAATTTTCTCCGAAAATTTTTATTATCAGTCGGCAAGGTAGATTTCTGTATCGGTATTTTTATATTTCTATTTTTCAAAAACTGTTTTACCATCAGTCGGTAAGGTAGATTTCTATGTTGGATATTTTTTATATTTTTTCAAAAATTCTACTATCTTGTTAATTTTTTAACCATCTAATTTATATTCGCTATTAGTTTTTTTTAAGTTTGAGGGGGTAAAAAAATTGTAAAACTTTGTAATAAGTACCAATGGAGAAAATAATAAAAAAAATAATATAATAAAAAAAAAATAAAATAAAATAATATGTAAATAAAAATTATTATTATTATTTGTAATTATTTATATTTATTTAATTATGTGATAAATAATTGAAATTGAATTTTATATATTTGAACAAAAATACTTAAAAGTCAGTAAATTGAAAAATTGTTTGAAATATATATATATATATATATATATATATATATATATTTCGAGCTATCGCGATGGAAAATTTATCAATTATTTAATTTCAATATATAATGAAATAGTACAGTAGTGTGCAACAAATCTAAAAATGTAGATTCTACTACTGCGGAAAATTGAGTGTCATTGAACTCACAATAATGTTAGATTACTCGATTTAATGAAATTAATACAGTATTCGAAAGTCTTCAAATAAAAGGGGATTTGATATACTTTGTAAGGTTTCTATTTGGAACCCTTTGACGTTTTTATACTCTTTATTTATTACGCCTTCAAAATAATTCGGATCTCAAATTACCTAATAATCTCTATTTTTATATATATAATTATATTATTTAATTATGTTATATTGCGTTATTTTATTTACTTTTTTTATTAGAAAAAAATTCAATTAAATTTTTCCAAAAGATTTTTTTTTATCTTTTCATCGAATTTTTTACAACTTTTTTTTCTATTATAATTAATAATTAGAAATAATATTATAAATTTTTAATGAAAATTTTTTCTACTAATTATATTATATTACATTATTTTATATTATTTTATATTATTTTATATTATTTTATATTATTTTATATTATATTACATTATTTTATATTATATAACATTATTTTATATTATATTATATTATTTTTAGATTACATTTTACTATTTATTATTTTGATAGAAAAAATAAAAAAAAATTTTATAAAAATTGTTAATTGAAGAATAATATTCAAATTAACGTTTAATAACAACTAATTCATTAAGTTTTGATCGAATTGATTGAGCAGATAATTATATAATATTATTAGATAAGTGACAACAAGGCGGATATCCAACTGACTGAACATTATAATTTGTCTCTAGCGCAATATGACAATAAATTTATATGAATATAATGAGAATTTTTATTTTCATTTAGAATTTGAAATAAAAGAAATTCACTGATTTCATTGATTTGAAAGAAAAAATTAAAATTAGAAAGGTGAACTAAAATTCATGAGTTCGCGAGAAAACACATGAGGAAATGGTAAGGTTTATTTTCATGCTTTCTTCATTTTTCTTCTTAATTATATACTTGATTAAAAAAATTTTTCAATTTTCTTTATTTATAACTAAACTTAAAAAAAAACTTCTAAAAAAATAAAATAAAAATAAAAACTATATGAAAAAATAAATTTTTCGTTGCACCATTCGTTTAAAATTAATTCATTCATCCACGATTTTTATTTTATTTTTATTATTATTTATTATTATTTATTACTATTTTACAATTTTTTTCTCCTTTAATTTCCTTATTTTTTTTTAATTATTTTTTTTTTTTTGTAAAAATTTTAATTTTAGTGTATAATTAAATCAGCAAATATTTATATTTTCTTTAAATTGTAAATAATTTCAAAAAAATAAGCAAAAAAATTTTTTTTTATATAAAAATATATAAATTATTATTATAAAATTCATAACTGAAATAAAAATAGAAATTGTATCTGGAAATACAGGAAATAAGTTGTTTATCCGGTTTCTATTAAAATCTAGTTGTAAACGATTAATTAAATTTTTTAAAAATATCCTTTTTTTAAATTTATTTTAAACATTAGTAAATTATAGAGCAACTTAAAGAGTTGTTTGCACTTTCTATAAAGTTTGATTTTTAATCATCTCAATTTATATTAAAGTTTCAATTAAAAAACATATCAAACACAGAATCAAAATTATCGAAATAAAAATTTGAAAGTAAAAAACATATAAATAACTGGAAAAGAAAAATAGATTAAATAATTAAGAATATAGTAAGAAAAAAAATAAACAAAATAGAATTATTTATTTTTACGGATCTAACACAATTATAACAAAAAAAAAAATCTGAGCTTAATAGAAAAAAATGCTACAATCATTTTTCGTAAACAAACGGATTTAAATTGTAATAAAATAATAAAAATTCTATAACACTAAAAAAATACATAAATTATAAAAATAATAAAAATAAATATAAATAATTCATCACAAAGAAAAAAACTCACGTTCTTTCGCCGCAGACGAAGCTTATAAGAAAATAATACACAGCATTGCAGACTCCAAAATTGAAATAGAAATATCCCCGCACCAATGTTAAATTGTATTTGTCAAAAAAATACTATCATGATAAGTTTGTTGTATTTTTTTATAATAATAAAAATTATTATTTTTGTATTTGATAATTATCATTGAATTTAATATAAACAAATTTTTTTTTTTTTCTATAAAATATCGAAAGGTTTTATTCAGCGCGCGATCATGACGAGAAATGCCGCGATTAATATCGCGGCGTGCGATTTCCTTATTTGGTCAAAGGACAAACGAGGGGGGGGAGGGGGTATAATATACGTTATATACCGTTAGGGGAAAAATCAATGGATTTTACTTCGTCAACCCCTCGTTCAGATAGCGCTGTATATTATTTACAGGGAAAGGCGGTGAAAATTCAAAAATTTTTCATGACTGTTGAATTTAGTGTATATATATACTAAATTTTTATATATTAAAAATTTATATTTTATTTAGTAAAATAAAAATTTAAAATTTAATTTTTTTTAAAGTAAAAATGTAAATTTTTTTGATTTAGTAAAAACCGAACTATTTTTTACTTATATAGGAATTTTAGATAATTTTAGAAATTTTCTTGTGGAATTTTCATGTTTGTCTCTCTCCATGTAAATTGGCTAAAGTCCATATGACTATATGCAATGAAAAAAAAAAGAACCGCAAAGTGGAAGTGAATTTACTTCGAAAATAGCATTTATGTGTTCAAGAATTTCAACCTAAACTTTTAGGCGTTAATTATTAAAATTTTTTGGGGAAAAAAAATTTATTATTTACAAAAATAAATATATTAATACATAATTATAATATAAAAATTATAATATAAATTGAAAAAAAATTATTCCAGTAATTTTTTTTATATTCTTTTTTTTAAATAATAAAAATTACCCAAAAAAAATATTAATACATAATTATAATATAAAAATTATAATATAAATTGAAAAAAAATTATTCCAGTAATTTTTTTTTATATTCTTTTTTTTAAAT